AATTTATAACACTCTCTAAAAATATTTTGGAACTACTATGAACTTAAACTAAAATATCTAACTGAACTTTTGTAAAATTAACAGATGGTTCTAAAATCAGATACTGACGCAATTTCTTTTTGTGATGAGCTATACAGTTTACAAAATTTTTTGGCAAAGAAAACCGCCATCGTTTCAGATGATTCCCTTTGTTTAAGAGCATAATGTTCAAGTACAGATTTTCAACACATAGATAACATTCGTCATTGTAGTATCTCTAAGATTAATACAATGAAAACTGATTAAAAATAGACTCTGTCTCAATCAAGATTAAGTAGATTAGGAACTTTATCAAAGAACTGGATGTCGCCGATAACAAGGATTTCAATACATGTATAACATTCGTCATTGTAGTATCTCTAAGCTTAATATAATAAAAACTGATTAAAGATAGTGTCTCAATCAAGATTAAGTAGATTAGTAACTTTATCAAAGAAATGGATGTCGTGGATAACAAGGATTTTGGTTTTTCTAAATAAGGTATTTTGCAGAGAAAAGATCAGCAAAATTATCTTTCACTTATTGATTTTAATTGATTTAAAAGTTTTCCGTGTTACTTTTCTCTAAGGAATTAAAAATCTGTTTTTGTATTTAAAAAATAAATGTGTTTTATTTATTAATTAGATTTAAACTATAAAATTTCGAATTACTGATAAACTAGGATTAAAATAGACTATTGCTATTGCAATTCATATACTCAGACATCTTTTGCGAGAAATTCGATCACGAACTGGTTATTTTTTATTTTTAAAGACCATCGAAAAATATCTCGCCCGGGACGCCTAATGCTAAGAAAACGTAAAAATGCTAAGAAAAGGAAAAAAATCTCTTTAGTGAAAGTTTTTAATTCTTAAATTAAGGAAAATCTTCAATCGGCGTTTAATAAAAAATAAATTTAAGATACGGTTTTTTAAAAATATACCTACCTTTATTTATTACTATTATTATTTAATACACCTGCTTTTATTCATACAAATGCAATTTATTAAATGAAAAATGTAGTTAAAGTTCCTGAATCTTAAAGTTCATTTATAAAGAGATGTTTCTTTCCCAGTGGAAACTCTTGTGACATGGCACGTTCAGTTAGCGTTAGGAGATGTGTGGTTCGAATCTCAATGACGGTACAGCGGATTTTACACGTTTCTCGCTTTCCCTAGTATCTTTATGGTGGCGCCTAAACTAAAATGTGCTGGACGATGATTTGTCATCACGTAGATTCAGTCGAGTGAGTCTCGTACCTCTTCCCAGTTGCCCTGTAACTCGGAAAGAATACAGAGATTTTTTTTTTTTTTTTTGTGTGTGTGTGTGTGTGTGTTTTCTTGTGGTGTTGTAAGTGGTATCACATTCAGCTAGTGCCGGAAGATCCTCGGTTCAAATTCCACAGAGAATACAGTTGATTTTACACGGTGCTCGCTAATGCATCGATACATTTTCTCCATGTACTTTGAAAATACTTCAATTACAGATTTTTTTTGGGGGGGGGGGAATTGAAGATAAGGATTATTTAAAGATTTAACTCACAGATAAATATTAAACTCGGAAAGCTAAATTCTTGCCAAAAAATTAAGAACTGCACTTACAGTCGTCACAAGGTTACATTAGAGATCCCATCCAAGTCCACTGAAATTACATAAATCAATGCCCCCCCTTTTTTTTTTTTTTTTTTTTTTTTTTTTTTTTTTATCTGTTTCATTGGACGTCAGTAAAACGTCAAAAGATTTTTTAAAGATTTTAATCTAAAATGCTGTTGTTATTGTTATTGTTAAAGATTCGAATGGCAAAAAATACAAAAGTCAGGGCTAGCGAATGTTAAAACTTTACGAGTTTCGTGGTAAAGATTCAAAATCGCATCCATAATAAATACCCATCCATTAACGTTTTTTCTGATATTAGTAATGAAAGGACTATACATATATTGAAAAAGATACCTTAACGTGTGCTGAAAAATCTTAGAGAGGAAAAACAAATTCAACTTTCATCTCTGTTTTATTTAAAAAAAAAAAAAAAATCTGATGTGTACGCCACTTGACTTCCTTGTATGGAATATTAAATTATGAGCTTTCCTGCCTGTCATTTAAACATATTTCCTCGAATTTCATTAGAGATATATTTCTCATTCAATTAATTCAGTTCTCACTTCGCGACAAGGAAAAAATACCTAAAACTTCAAAATGCTTTTATTTAAATTGAAAAATATAAAACATAAATACAGTTAAAACAATTTAAAGAACAACTTTTACTCTTAAAATTAAAGTTCTACGCAGAACAGCTTTCCCCAACGACAAAAGGCAGATTTTTCGCCGCACAAAACTGAAAGTTTACTTTTGGTCTCACTAGGCAAAAAGGTACTGAAGTCGTAGAAACTGATTTAATTTATTGTGGACGCTATGCTGAGTCAATATATGGGATAATTTAATAACTTAAATGTTAATTCCAGAATGGATTAAGCAAGATTTAACTCGGAATAATAAAAGAAGACGTTATCTTTGTTATTGCGAATCTTAGTTTCTCGAGATAGGGAACAAATCCACTATTCTGCTAAGTTTCAAATGTAAACAAATATGGCTGCTATGGTAAATAAAAATTAAACTTAGCCGCACTTAAACAACTTTAAAATTGTTGATAATTTTACAAATATTGTACGCAGGTTAACTAAACGCATACAAATTTAACCGGAAGAAAGGAACAATATAATTCAAACATTTTAATGCAAAAAAATTCACAATTTACCAACATATAAAAATAAAAAAAACTTAGCTCACGGAGCCGAGTAACATAATAGCTATATATGTGCACACACACACACACACATATGTATATATATATACTTTTGGTGCGGCCGATTGCAACCAAAATGGGAGGTGCACATCTACATGCTATAGTAATCCTATACATAAAATTTCAACCTTCTGAGGCTACTCCTTTTTGAATTATGATAGATACATACACACATACGTGCGTATGTAAAAAAATCCCTTCAGAGTCCATGTTAAATCAGTTTTATAATTTTATTGCGGAAAAAGAGTCCCTTATTCTGTCCATACATACGGATGTCACGCAAAAACATTGTTAAATTGCATTCGATAGTGATCAAAATGGATATCTCTTTGAAATATGGTACCCGGAATTTTTCATGATTACAATATTTCCTTTACTTCGTGAAAGGGAGTAAAAATTAGGCTTAGCCTCACTTAAGCAACTTTTAAATTGTTGATAATTCTATAACTATAACATGCATGTTAACTAAAGACATAAAAAACTTAACAGTAAAATAAGAACAATACAATTCAAACATGTATAATGGGAAAATGCACAATTTACCAACATATAAAAATTTAAAAAAACTTAGCTCACGGAGCCGAGTAACAGAATGGGTATATATGTGTATATATATATTTATTTACTAAATAATATTGATTATATTATCTCCTAAGATTATTATAGTAGAATTATCTGAAAAGAGTGAATCCATACTTAGTAATTTCTATTTCGAAGATGTTTGAAGTAACCTGAAGTAAATTGTTAAAATGTTTACGGGGACTGGAATTAAATCATGAAAACAAATTTCAATTACAAAGGAATAACTTAAAAGCAAGAATTAAATTAAATGCAAGTAATCATTGTCATTGATCAGAAATTAGTTGACTTGTCAAGGGGAACAAACCAACTCCCGTTCAACGAACAATAATTAAGAAATAAATACGAAGGTGTTTCGTCCTTTACTTGAGCAATAAGGCGATGCCAAACCGGCAATTCAAGTCAGGCCAAACATTTCCGTGAATAGAAGTGATTAAGAACTAATGCAGAGATCCAAAGAACTCATTCCGATTAAGCATTTTAGCTAATTCAATTTTGAGTGAAAAGCAATTCCTGCAGTAAAATTGATATCGCTCGAGTAACCGTCCCCCGACACCCCCGTGTTTATGCATTTGAGTTCAATATTATTTGTAAAAATTAAACATTGGAAATTGTCATTGTGAAATAGAATTCAAAGTAGTCGAAATAAACATAAGAAAATTACAAAATATAAGAAAAATAATGCAATCTTTGTAAAAACAATTCAAAAAATAAAATTATATCAGTCGGTAAGACTTGTGTGAAGTAATTTATGGTGGTGGGATGGACTAGGAATTCTTGAGGGACGTATGTTGTGGAGCTCTTATTTGAGTGAAACCGTGTGTTAAATTTTTTTTTGAAAATACTAGTGAATAGAATATATACTTTTGGTGCTGCCGATTGCAACCAAAATGGGAGATGCACATCTACATGTTATAGCAATCCTATATACAAAATTTAAACGTTTTGAGGCTGCTCGTTTTTGAATTATGATTGATACATACATACATGCGTACGTTCAGACGCCACGAAAAAATCTCCAATCCATTTTAAATCAGTTTTATAATTCGTTTGGGAAAAAAGAATCCTTTATTCTGTCCTTACGTACAGATATCAGGCAAAAACATCTTTAAATTGCATTCGATAGCGGTCAAAATGGATATTTTCGTTGAAATATGATACTCGAAATTTTTCGTGATTACAACACTTCCTTTTTGCTTCGTACACGGAAGTAAAAATAATGAGTGTATTTATTCAGTGGTATGTTATTTTCCTGCCCACTGTGAATATTAATGGTATTAAATGAAGTTTCTTGAAAATTAGCACGAAGAGCGTTATGTGTATTATCCAAAAAAGGTAAAATTAATTTCTCTTTTGACTAGTCATTTAAAATTGGTCGTAAATGGAAAGCAAATACATACATTAAATATCAATAAGAGAATTCTATTATCCGCATGTTATGGGGATATTTAACATTTTGTGGGAGAGATTTTTTGGCGAGATTCAACACTGGTTGAGAATTTGTAGAAATACCACATGTAATATGTATTTTTCTTACAATCTCGTCTGTCTATAATTATTATTATAACCTTTTTTTTCCACTGAATTAAACTTATTTACGTCTCTTACGATATAGGAATAGTGTAACTGAATTAAAAGCTCATTTTTTTTTTTTTTTTTTTTTTTAAATATTTATCGAAAATAGGAAAATAAAGTCGACTAGAGCAAAGAAAGAGGGATGGGGCTTTTATATCGCTAATTTGTACTATTTAAAATCCGATGCCCTTACCAAAGAAATTTCCAATTACCAAAAAGATTTAATGCATGTTTCTATTCTCGTGACATCCAACTATTTGCAAAACAAGATGGGGTCGTTTGAACAGCTGAGCACTTAACAGTCAATTCAGTAATATTTACAAAGATCATGCATTCTGAGAATTCAAAGAAAATTATATTATTTTTAATTTAATTTAATGAACTACTTTGGTATTTCTTCGTTAGGTAACTGCCATGCCATTTTGGCACCTGTGAAAGAGAAACCAAGACCCAATGATAACACCATCTGTGTTGTTTGTGTGTGTGTTTAATTTAGCACATTTCATTGTATGCATTTAAATAATTATTATTATTTTAACGCCTCATACTCTGGTAAGAAAACATCTTTTAAAGTAGCTATCTCATCAATATTATGAATAGGAATATTAACTATCTCATGCATATCGATACTTCCTTCAGACTGTCCTAAAAGAAACCAGTTATTTCTAGGGCAAAATACTACGGAAGTTATCGTTTTATTTTCATCTGAAAGCAACTGAGCAATAGGATGATGCTGATTTATGAATAAATCAAAGATGAAAACTTTAGACTTTGATACGGCCAAAAACAGTGTAGATTTTATATTTGACCACGCAATTTTCATAATTACTTCAGAGAGATTCAAAGTTTTGGAAGGAGTCAACCGATAGGATTCCCAGATACGTACTCTACGATCTGTACCACAAGTTAGAAAGACATCTTCTACAACTGGGGACCACTGAAGATCATAAATAGGTCCTTTATGGCAGTTAAAAACCTTTATATATTTATCTGAGTCATTAATATCAGCCAACAATGCTTGCCCTTCAAAAGTACCAATCAAATAATTTTCATGGTTATCTGGTTTTATATCCAAACACTGGCCAACTGCATCAGAAGCAAGCGTCATTTTCTTGTTACTCCCATCATCATTTTCTCCTCGTTTTATGTGCCTGAGAATGTAACCATCCAAATCTCTTTCATAATTCCAGCAGCTTACAACACCATCTGTAGACACAGACAAAAGTACTTCAGATTCCTTTCCTAGAGAATACTTTTTCCTCATCCATCGAACGCTTTTTATAGTTCCTGATGGTCTTACTTTCGAAATACTGTTATTTGCTACAAAATAACTTTTCGACTTTCGAATATCGAGTACTACTATCAATCCATACCTCATGCCTACAGCAACTAAATACGGTTTAGAATTAGAAAATTCTATGCAAGTTACCACTTCTTCCATCGGATATATTATTTCAGGATACCCGCATTTATGAATGTTCCAGCACAAAATCATTCCTCTTGGATGATTATCCATTTCTTTTCGTCGACACACACCATAACCACCTACAAATATGCAAGGATTCAAAGGATTAAAATTGATGCATGTTACTTCATAATCATTTTTCATTTCTGGCAAAGAAAAACGCAAATGATGTTTGATAATTTTTGTTTCTTTCATATATGTTGAACACTTAACATCTATTGATTTTCTTGAACCAATATTTGAGGTATTTTTTTCTACTTCAATTGCAATCCTCTCATTTTCAACTGTCGTTCCTACATCTTCTAATTCAGTTATACAACCGTTATAAGCTAAAATAGTATTCTTATAACTATTATAATTTAATGTTTTCTCTGTTACATAAAGCGCAGTTTTTAAGCGATTTAAAACAGATGGATACTTCTCCAAGTCTGTCAGAAACTCCTTGTAGTCTCGAAATTTGGTTCTAGATGCCACAAATTCTTCAAATGTTAGTGATGAAGTCTTTACACCTACTTCGTCTCGATCATAATATTCTTTCATTAAAAATGAATTCACCATAGCATGTTTATCTGTTAGAATTATAGGCAAAGTCTCTTCGTGCTTATCAGTTAAATTCACAAATCCAGCTTGAATTATCTGATCTTGATACCGAATTGGAAAATTCTGGCGATTTTGAACAGCCTCCAAGTATTTCTGATTCCGTTTAAGAACTGTTTGGTAATGTGACGATCCGGTAGAAACTTTTGAGTCTGGCATTTCGAATAGTGGAGAAATTACTCTACTCAAAAAAATATTTTTTCTTGCATATTCAATTAGTGACGTAAATTTTCCCTGTTTAACTAATTCATTTTTGATGGCATTTTCATCAAAGCGCATTTCCTTATTTTCACTTTCTGTTAAACGTTGCTTCGATTTTTTTTCCTCATGGCAGAAATGATTTTCTATCACCATTAAATATTTAGGTAAAAAATCTGCATCTAAAGTTTCATCTTCGATAAAAATTGGGAACAGTGGCCTTGGGGTAATATTCTCACCAACATCATTAGTTACACAAGGAATTAAAGTACTTTCACTTCGAATGTGAATTTTACATATTCCATCGACATCTGAAAACCCCTCTTCGAGCCAATCATTTATAATTTCACTTACCATTACGAAATAATGAAAGATGAAAACGTCTGAACAAATCGTAGGATAAATTCCAGAGTCAGGTAGCAAATCTTAAATGTCTGTGTAACACATTGTTACCAAGGAAACGTTAGTATAATTCTTTGTTGCCATTTCCTGAATTAAATTATACGCCTGCATTGAGATAAGACCGCTAGCTCCCGCATAATATAATGCAAGTGCAATCAGTTTCTAATCTTTAAATGTTAATTCATTTTATCTTAAAACATAATTTTACAGTTATGTCTACTATATGTGTAAATGACCAGATTAATTTTTTAAATGAAGAATGCTTGACAAACATTATTTTTACATTCGTTTCATTAAATACATTTCAGAATACGACTTTTAATTTATACATTACGCCTATCAGAAATATTTTCAATTTAATTAAAGATTTACTAAGTAGATAACCATTGCAATTCTTATTTAGATAGTAAGCAGGATAAAATACCTCGCAATATATTTAAGTTACAAAATGATTAAGATTTTGAACTATATTAAATTTAACGCTATTTCGTGCATACAGTGTAGAATGTTGGAAATACTTCTCAACCGTTACCGTTACAAAATTTATGAAAAATTTTAATATGAATCATTAACCATAGCGTTGAAAAGAAATAATTACCCTTAGCTGATTATATCATATATTTAATGTTAGATTAGTATATATTAATAAATGTGTATAAAAGAAATAAGAATTGTACAATATATTTCTTATCGATGATAAAATACGAAATTTACACTACTTTATAAAAACAAACCTTGGTAGTTTACGGAAGTGAACTAGAGTTACATGAGGTTGGCAACAACAGGAGGATACCGAAAATTTGCATTTTAAATCCTCATCTCCTTTCTTAAAAGCAAGATTGCTAAAATGAAAAAATGCTAAAACCAAGACGCAACAATGAAGTTAAACATATTTACTTACAAATAACAGTGTGTGCGTGATTGTTAGAGAGTTCTGCTTCTTCAGAAATTGAAAAATTCCTTCGATAGTCATCATTAATGAGGATATTTAAAAGCCCAATGCTGGATCGGAATTATTTAACGCCTGTAATCGAGAATTTGAAGCACAAGTACGAAGGAATTCTTCGTACGATTTTTATTTACGCAAAAATTAAGGGCGATTTCATTCTAATTGAAAGAAAATTGAAAGAAAGGCTTATTTTCTTTCATACTTACCAAACTAGTATTGAAACAAAGGTCAAAGCAGAGGCTCAAAGCAATCCTAAAAAATTTGGCAGGAGCAACAACTGAAAAAATCCTTCAATAAGATGAAAATTTCTTATCCTAAATGTAAAACAGTTTACCCGTAAGACCGAAGAAGGCATAATGAAATTCCCAATTTATTTCTTGGAACACGAGCGAATTGAAGCTGGTCGAACCATATTTAATGTGAATAAGAGTATATGCATTAATTTACACACTGAAAAATATAGACCGAAGAAGCGCGAATTTACTAGTGCTTCAAGTGTCAAAGATTTGGACACATCTAACATCTCTGCTTTAATCACATTCGCTGTGTCATTTGCGGGAATAGTCATAGAAGTGCGGAGTGCCTGAAACGAAAAGAACAACCTCTAGTCCGTTTATTCTGCAAAGGTTCACACATTACTAATTATCAAGGCTATCCTGTGGGAAAAAAAAAAAAAAGAAAAAAAAATCTCAGCAAATTTCTGAAAAATCCTTTTCAAAAGACTGAAGATAATTTCTCTCGACTTACTAAAAATCCTGAAATTCCCATGCCTAAAAATTGCAGAAAATGCAGCTAAATAGCTCAGAATAAATCTGAAAACAAATATGAAAAAAATAATAATTGTAATAATTCTAATTGGTTTAGTATAATTAAAGAAATTTTTAATATTCTTCAGGAACCTTCTTCAGGAAAAAATAAAAATTTCTGCTGAAATGTTATCGACTAAAAAGTATTTCCAATAATTCTCCTTGATTTTCACAGCTTTCAAGGCAATGAAAAAACTTCTTGCTGTATTTTTAATGATAAGTAAGAACACTTGCCAACTGCCTATGCTAGATGGCAGCACTTGCTTGCTTCTTTGTCCCTCTTTTGGCGCAAGTGAATTTTTTTTTAATTCTTCGTCTCTTAATTTCAACGCCGTCACCTTTGAATGTGCATCTAAACTGCGATTTAGTGATTAAATAGCTGAACAAAAATATTTGTCTGCTTTTTTAAGATGATGATTCAGTGCTTTCTGAGGCACTGATTGAACAATTGACAGATGTGATTACTTTAATGAACCATTTTCTTTTAGCTTTGGTCCATGTTATTAACCGCAATTCATGATGTGTTTTAAATGAAATTCATCTAACTGGTATAGATACACCAGACGCACTGCCTGCTAAATTTGAAGCATCAATTGCTTCTTCAGAAGTTTTGAACTTTTGTACCATTATTTTAAAACTATTTTGAGTAACATTATTATAGCCGTGCAAACCTGTCATCAGTGTATGGCATACAGAAACTTTACTATCAATTCAGACATCAACTTGTATTGCGAATTATTTTGCAATAAATTAAAATTTTTATTCTTAAAACACAAATTTAAGAGACGTTTTGAATAATTAAATTTGTGTGCTATTAAAAATTGAAGAAGATATTTACATGGCTCATAAGTATAAAATTAACTCTAAGAAAATATCTATCCATGTATATATAATAAGCACCATGAATCGGGAATTATAATATCTGATAGTGATTAGGTGATGCATCATAATTTGTGGGCCGTAAAATTAGACACTAAAATGTTTGTATGAACAATGTCCACAGATCATTGTTGAAATGCATTAGCTTCTCTTGTCTCAATGTATAATCAATTGTGTAATTCTAGTGGTCCAGGTTATACAGCCCGTTATGTAAGTGCATTCACTTGCATGCTGGCAAAGGAGACTGTACTTAAATGCAACAGGTGTCTGGGATATGTGTGTCACTTTTCTCACCTCGTTTAGTAACTTGTACTTTTCTTGATCAAATTATTTATAATTGTGAGGGGTTCATGAAGATTTATGTCAAAACAGTTATATAAATCAATAATTATGAGCAAATTAAACATTAATGTAGGTAAGTAATTATTGTTTAAGGCTTATATCTTTCTATTCAGTGAAATTTAGTTGATTGCATATGACAATAAAAATATTATTTTGGAACTACTCTGATATGCGTCCTCAAATCGGCAAACATTTTTGGCGAGAAACTCCACGCTGCCATATTACTATCTAAATTTTTTGTCTACATTTCGAACTTTAAGCCTAAAATGCCTCCAAAAACGCGGTTTTCGCACATGCAAAAACTGCGTTTTGAACACACAATTTAAGTTAAAAATCCGAAACAAAAACAAAAAATTTAGGTAGCAAAAACGTAAAGTTTCTAACTAAAAATATTTAACAAGAATTGATGTACACAGCGATATGTTTTAACTTTTAAAAAAATCTACGAATGGCACAATCTAGGGAACGAACGAACTATTCTCACCTAGCTTTAATAAATTAACATAACAACAACAAATTTCAAAGAATACCATGTACCCAGCATATTGTTTAAACTTAAAAAAACATCTACGAATTGCACAATCAACAAAACGCACTAATCAACAAAATAAACTAAAATAACTAAAATAAATTTCAAACAATTAAAAAAGCAACAATAATGACAGAAATTCATACTAAAAAAACAATGAACATAACATTCTACAAAATAAGAATAAAATAAAATGCACTTACCATGAATTAATTTTTTTTCGAACAGCAGAAATACTAATTTTATACCGCCTTTAACATGCCGGAACGTAATCACTATCGTATTTATATGACAGGCAGACACACTCTCCAGAAAATTGATACTATGGTTCACAAATAAATAAAATCAAAAATCCCTATTTCTATCATGCACAGCGACTAAAAATAATCTCCCAGACCCTCTTTCCACACCTCCAAATACCCATTGCCCCTCAACAGGATGGCCACAATGATATTTCCTTTTGCCGAACTTCAATTCAACAACTTGCACCATTTTACCTTCTGAGACACATACGCGAGCCAACAAACCAACGAGCTCCAGCAAAAGATTTTTCAATGTCAACAGGGTTGCCCTACAACACGCAATCGCACCAAAAACCAGCGCAGAACACATATCAACACATTTGGTGAAATTTAGGGCGTATATCAGAGTTGTACCATTATTTTTAATTGGTACTTTAGAATACAGTACAGTCTAAAAGTCGTTAATTCGGACACCCATAATCCGTAATTATCTATAATCCGGACCTCAAAGCTACAAACTTTCTGCGCATGCGTCTATTTCAGTTAATGTTGCAGATTACGTTGTTCCTTAATCTTCGAATTGGATCCGGCTTATTATTTTTTTATTAGAGCAATTTTATAAAAGTAAGCTTGAACTTTCGATTATGTTAAATAGAATTTCCGATATATATTTACTAATATGTAAAGGATCTACAAAGCAAAAGTATGTTTCGATGTCCATCAAACAAAAAGTGGAATTGCTGCAAAAAATGGATAAAGGCATATCCTTTGTTTCTCTAATCATTCCGAAATCTGTTTATCAATTTCATGCTGCTCTGCGGGGGGGGGGGGGACGTCGCGGCGCGCTATGAACTGGAAGTTTATCTGTCAGCACTATCTTTATCTTCAGGGCAGATGTTTTTATTTTATTCAGCTTATAATTCCTTACTAAATGCAGTATTTCATCTCGATGTATTCCGTCTTTGATATGATTTAAATCAAATTCCTCATCATTATAAATATCAGGAGTACATATCAAATAGTTTTCTGGTTGCAATTTTCTAATTTTGACTATGCGTAATGTATGCTTTATGCATGCACGCATTGAAAGAAATGTTTAATAAAATAAAGAAATAAATATTAAGCTTTTTTTTTATTGTAAATTTTGATACCCTTTAGATCATAATGGCTCTTTATTTCATAAATTACGGTTTCATATTTTTAATTTTATAATTTCTGCATGCCATCTTACCAGATTTAAACTGATGATCTATAATCCGGAATCGCCGAAGTCCCGACGAGTCCGGATTAAAGACTTTTGACAGTAGTTAATTGTCAACTACAAGCCTAACTCATGGGGAAAACCAGTTGTGAGCATTTAGGAGCATATTAAAACATTAATATGTGCATATATGTGTGTATGCATGTACATACATATACACATGCATACATACATTTCTGAGTCCGGTCCCAATAACAGAAGAGTACCTAAAAATGTTCTTGATGATATACCACTGCAAAAGTGATTTGTGTTCAAGTCAGATGGTTCAAATGTAAAGAAAATTGTTAATAGGCTGTGCAGGATGAATGAACAAATATTGATGTTACACAATTAGAAAACTTTGATCTGGGATTTGTACACTCATATATATATGTACTATTTATACATATTATTTCTTTATACTAGTTTCTCCTGCTTTATGAAAGTAGAATATTCTTGTGAAACCTTTTAAAACTCTTAACTCATTGGGACTTCAGCAATTCAGGATTTGGAATTTTTCCAGATATTACATCATCAGTTTAAATCTAGTAAGATTACATGTAGAAATTATAAAATTAAAATTTTGAAATAGGGATCTACAAGATAATGATGCATTTAATACCTCAAGGAACTTACAATTTACGAAAAAAAAAAAAAGTTTAAAATGTATTTGTTTGCTTTATTAAACATTTCTTTCAGTGTAAGTAGTTTAAGTTGCTTTGTTTTTGTGCTAATACTTTCTCTTCAAGTCTACAGATAGACATAATTTGTTGTTCAGTTACAAATATCCATTGTTCAAGTTCAGCGATAATTCCCGTTTTGAGAATTCCCACTAAATTATCAGATTTCGCAGTCTGTTGGTGATTGAAGATAAGGCATTGTCTTCATAATGAATAACTTTATGTTATAGTATCATCTTCATTTATTACTACTTCTCGACATTTCTTCACAAATTCCTGTCTTGCTTCTCTCGTATGCTGTCAAAGTTAAGTCTGAACTGTATTAGCTATTTATTATATTTGTGCTTGTTTCTCTTACATGCTTAAAGGACAAATCCTGAATAAATAAATTCCCACCTCATATTTAGCCAGGGCCAGTGCTACACTATCCAGATATTTTGCAGCCCAGTGCAGTCTCTCTGGTTCCACAATACTGCTGGCAGGTGCTTCCCTAAATTCTAAAAATTTCGCTGCCTGTAAATTTTCCATCCCAGTGCCTTCTCTAAATTCTAAAGATTTTGCCATACCTTAATTTTGTTGCTTGGTGTTTCTTTAAATTCTAAAAAGTTTGCCTTCCCTAAATTCTGCTGTCCAGTGCAGCCACATCACCTTTGGTGCCGGTCCTGGGCATATCTAAATAGCAAATAGTTATTCTCAGTTAAATTTTTTTTTTTTTCATTTAGAAAGAAATTTCTGTTTAGTTAATCCTCATTAACACATTCAACATTTCCCAGTGGAGATAGCTGAAGTCTCTGCTCTTTGCCATGGGTAATGTCAACATAACAAGTTATACACTGATGAAAGCAAAAAATAATAAATAATGATTCGTCATGTTAGTGTGAAAGATTAGTTATTTAGTAAGTGTAAAAATTAACAATGTTTGAATGTAGATTTCGTTTAAGATTTATGTCAAGCAATAAGTCAGCTAGAGAGCCAAATTATTGATCATACACACATGCTAATAAATGATATTGTTCCTTCAATGTGGAGGCATTAGTGAAGTGAAATGAAGAATCAGGACTTCCCATGTGTTTTCTTATGAAAAACAAGTGCTAGCATAAGACAAAATAATTTCTGAAAAAAAAAAAAAAAAAAAAGGTTGCTTGTGATCCAGAGACCTAGATTTTAAATCATTTCAGATATTGGAAGTCCGGATTTCAGACTTTGTATGTACTGTACTTTGACATACACTTTTACAAAATGCCTGTTCACATACTTCTTTTGCAGCAGCAATGCTAATTCTGGCATAAAGATGTTCAGGAAAATCATTATATGTTTTATGTGATCCATCATCATGATAACTATATTGCAGTTGCTGTTTGTTCCCTTGAATAATTCTCATATACACTCATGTCCATAAATTATGGATAATTCAGAATCACACTGAAATAAAACTCTGAAGTAAAAAGTTCACCTGTAGAAATTACCTCACAAATCTTCAAAAATAATATACAAATTACAGGGAGCCATGAGATGACGTCGATAGTACATCACAATGATGAGAGTGTAAGAGAAATGTATATGAGAAATGGTAGCAAAGAAGTAAAATTGTTCACAAGCGTTCTATAAGCCATTCAGTGCCACAACTGAATAGATGATTTTTTACGTAGTAGAATAATCGACAGCTTGGAATGTGGGCGTACTCTGAACGGATGTATCCGAGGAACTTGGAATAGCCCAAAGTGCAATCTCTGGCTTTGGCAAAATTCCAAAATGTGGAAATGTCAGTAGACGTTACAGTACAGGTGGTCCTGAGTTACAACGCCGAATGACGACCGGTATTTGGCAGTAATTGTCAAAAGAAGCAGACGGAGCACAACATCAGATCTGTCTTGTCAACTATCTTCAGCCATGGGTATGACAGTTTCATGGCAAACCGTGTACAGATGTTTGAGACAGATAGGTCTATAATCTTGTAGGCCGCAGATGTGTTCTGCTCACCGTGACTCATTGTCACAGCGGTTAGCATGGAGTAGAATGCATGCAATTTGTAACATCGTCACAGTCTGCTTGTGTGATGTTTTCCGGCGAGGCCAGGTTTAGCCTACATTCTGATTCACGTTGGAATTTCATATGGAGAACTCAAGGTACCCGCCATCACGAAGACCATATCATCAAAGAACACAGTTATGGTGGTGCAGGACTGCTCGTTTGGGGTAGAATTATACTGTATTCGAGAACAGATCTGCATATTCAGATCGAAACCATGACAATCCAAATTTATCAGGACATCATTCTTGATCAACATGTATGTTTGTTTAGGGGTGCCTTGGATGCAGAATTTGTGTTTATGGATTACAACGCCCGTCCTCACCGTGCAAACATTATCAAGGAATGCCTTCA